CAATATTTTAAATTTTTTTAATGATTGCTTACTATTGTCACGTGAATGCGTATGTCTGAGCTCCGGACTTAACAACGGCCGTTGCCGTTTCCCTAGTTATATTTGTTCAAAAAATTCGTTGTATCAGAGTTTGCTATATCAAGAGTTGACTGTATTTAATTTAATCTTTTAAATCTTACTTATTATTTTTATTTAATTTAATAATGCTTGTTTTTTGCATTATTTAATTAATATTATAAATCAATATATAATATTATTGAAGTTATAATAAAAATAATTTTGATTTATTTTAATTTCAAATTCTTTGAAACGGCATTAATAAATTATAAATTAATTTTAAAAATAAGTATAAATATTATTTTATAATAAAGAATATTGCTTTATACAACAATTCATATATATAAAGATATCATTATTATATGAATATTTTATTTCAAAAAAAAAAAAACTCATCAAAAAGCTGGTCTGTTTAATTTATTTTGCATATACAGTAGACCTCATCTCCAATATAGTCACTCCTCCTCTTTAGTCATATTATTATAAAATCCGTGTAAGCTAGGTATGAAGTTACACGAATCATCTGTCATTTATTCATGCAATTCGATGATCATGAATTTTATCTAAATCGTCTTCAAGTGAACTTTGTATCAAAAATGGCTCTTAAACGCATTCAGAAGGTAAGATTGAAAGAATTTCTTCTGATGTATAGAGAAAACCTAAATAAAATTTTATTTTTACCATATAAAATAGGAACTTAATGACATCAACAGAAACCCACCAGTTGGGATTAGCGCTGGACCTACTACTGAAGAAGATTTGTTTAACTGGACAGGTAAAATAGATCAATAGAATTAGTACTTTTCAACATCAGTCTTCTTTCCCATTTATTAATTTTTAATTTTATTAGGCACAATAATGGGACCTGTAAGTATAATGGAAAGTATAATGAAATATTGAAAATTTTAATGATTTGTTCAATTCAACATTCAATTGTTAAAATAGAATAACAGTTCTTACAAAGGTGGTATTTTTCGACTTAAAATTGAATTCTCTCAAGATTATCCATTTAAACCACCGTCAGTATGTATCAAATTAACCTGGTTTTCATTTTAGCATCTCATTTTATTAAATGATTTATTTATTTATTTATTTTATTTTTTTGCTTTTAGGTTAAATTTATCACTAGAATTTATCATCCTAATATTGATGATGATGGCTCAATTTGTGTGAACTTGCTGAAAACTGACGTATGGAAACCAGCAACAAAGATTTCTCATGGTCAGTATAACATTTATAAACGTTCCCGAATTCCAAGTTTTTTTTTTTTTTTTTTTTGAATAATTTCTTTAATATTGCAGTTCTTGAGGCTATTGCTGAGCTCCTTGAGAATCCAAATCCCGATGATGCTTTGGTCGCGTCTGTTGCTGAAGTTTATAATACGAACAGAGCAAAGTTTACCAAGACAGCCAAAGAATACGTGAAAAAAGTTCGTGTATATATTTTCTAAATGTTAATATTTTATTTCTTTATACATACTAATAACTATTGTTTTTTATTATTAAAGTATGCTTCCTCATAGACAATCTACAGAATCTCTTTATTAACATGTACGCATTTGATACGTTCATACAATGTAGAATATTTCAACTTTTAATTATTAAACTTCTATCCTATAACAATAGCTCTTTTTTATTGTAAAGGATTTTTAATTTTTTATTTTAATTATTGGGTGAAAAAGAATTAGACATTATAAAATAAATAGTTTATGTTTAACAAATTATTTCCAAAATTGTAGTAATTTTTCTTACCATAATGCAGCAAATCCAATCAATGCGTTTTTGAAACAATACCAAATTAAATCATCTTTACAATCTTTTACGTCATTCCCATTAACCTCGTTTTTTTCAACATTACTGGATCCAATCATAATCAGATCATTCTCACCAACATCCTGTGCTAAAATTTTGGTCGAATGTTTTCCCACGTCCTCAATAAATTTTGCATCCATAATCGCATTATTTACATTTTGTTTCGAGAACAAACCTTTACTTGAAATGGTCAAAGTTGAAACTTTATGTGTATTAAGTTTAAACAATTGTTTCGGAATCAAATTAGGCGGTGGATTACAACGTGAAGTTCGTATAAGTATATGTAACCGTGTCATAACTATAGAATTGGATGTTATGAAACAATTGAAAACAAAAAAATATTTTGTTTTATATGTAAACTCTCACCTAACCTAAAGGTTGGTCATTAAGTTTTCCCATTAAAGATCTTAGCAATTTTCTCTCGCTTGCTTCTTCACGTTGAAATTGTTCCATCAAATTATTTTCATCCAATTGTAACATATGATCGGCGCACACGTTCAAAAATTCCATTATGTAAATTTCTTTGGGGCTAGTTGCCAAATTTCCCAACATAATCGTTAGACTGATAGATTCCAAACAACCATGATAAGCAACAATGTGTTGAAAAGTAGTCGTAATGGTTTCAAATAGAACTTGGGAATTTGATATCAACTTTAAAAAAATTATAGTGTACAATTAATTTAGCTTCGGATATTAATAATTATTTACGTCCCAATGATTTCTGATCCTTATGATACTGACTTCTTTGACTTTCTTATTATATTGATTTTGTTTTTGTTTAGATTGCTGTTACAAAATAAAATGGAAATTACAGTTAAAACATGATAAAAAAAAAAAGAAAAAAGTGTATAACAAAAGAAAAATCAGCATATCCTGTACATGAGTTATTTGCAATAAATTTTCAATCTGAGAGAAAGTACTTAAAATAATTTTGTTAGATTTCCATTGACAATCATTCAATATAAAAAAAAAAATTCAAAGGCATTTTTGCAAACCATGGAATTTGACCTCTCATAAATAGTACATGTTTAACGAAAGCTATCACCAATTTTGCCGCAAAAGATGCGGAAAGAAGGTGCGTAAAAATAACGTTTATTGTTGAAGAATTTGGTACAACGATAACCATTTGAAAATATTTTTTTTAGTTGTGAAAAACGCGTTTGTCCAATTGATCGGCATATATTAATTAAACCGTGTTACGGAAACTGTAAATTATAAAAAACATTCATTCTTCATATAATTCAAAATACAGGAAATATGGTAAGTCCACCAAGAGTATACAATATTTGCTGTTTTGACGAGTACACTTTAACCATTGTTATTTTTAAATGTAGGATTTTTTCTTAGGAATTGCGATTTATTTAGTGATTCTTAGTTTCATAATTTTTGTCTTAATAATGGGTCCTTCTTCCCGTTTCAGGTATATATATATATATTTTTTCTGAAATCATATTAAAAAATAAAATAAAATGCTAAGTTTACGTTTTTTAAGAAATGGTCCAATTGGAAAATTGCATCACTTTTTGACGGAGACATTGATTGAATGGATAGGGTTAGTTAAATTTTAATTATTTTTGACTATATTCAATATTTCTAATACATGTTTTGAATTTTTAGGTTCTCATTTCGACAAGTTTGTGGAAACCGTTCTTCAGCGATCAGTGATCGTCTTTATGTTTATTTTGTAGAAGAAAAAAATCCAGTATTAGTGGTAAGAATATAATATTTGTTTATTTATCGGTAAAAATTTATTCGATTTGATGATATATCTAACAATTGAAATCTTTCATTGTTTAGATAGTATATTTAATACTTCTAACAGTGTCAAATTTCTTATTTTATGTAACTGCGTGGCCCCATATTCCTGGACCTTATCTTTCTAAAGCGCATGTGTAAGTAGTGTACGTGTCATGAACAATTCATCATCATTTTTTATTAACAAATTCCAATAATATCTAGTATAATTAATTATTTAATTATCAAATTTTTTTCCCTTCGACAGATATCTCGTTCCAATAGTTATAATTTTTACATATGCTTCATTTTTTATTGCATGTTCGAGTGATCCAGGCCGAATTACAAGTGAGAATGTTGATAAAGCTTGCAAAATGTTCAATTATGATTTCTTGACATTTGAACCAAAAGAATGTAGAACATGTAAATTTACAAAGTAAGTTTTCATAATTACTTTAGCTTTATATATAGATTTATAACTTTTAACTAATCATTTTGAAATTTTTTTTTATTTACAGACCTGCTCGTTCAAAACATTGTTCTCTATGTAAAAAGTGTGTTGCAAAATGCGATCATCACTGTGAGTTGTTAAAATTTAAATATCAATTACATTAGTTATATTGATTATCTACATTTAAATGTTTTCTAACGATCTTACTTTATATTTAGGTTCATGGATTAATAATTGTGTTGGTTTAAAAAACCATCGTTATTTCCTTCTTTTTCTATATGCTACTATTCAAATTTGTGTGTATGGAGCATATTTGATTTATTATATTTTTTGGGGAATATCCAAGAACATGAATTTAACTGAAGCTTGGATTACTTCTGTAGAGACTAGAAAGAGGGTTAGAATTTCAACATACCAGGCTATATTAGTACGTTAATTTAATCTTTCATCTGTTTTCTCCAAGGTGATTATAACTTTATTCAAAAAATTTTATATCATTATTTTATAGTTTTTGATTCACCAAGAGAGGGTTCTAGGTGCATTAGGTATTTTTACCCTTCTTGTTGGATTGGTCATCTTTATATTCATGTGCTATCAGCTTCATTTGGTATATAATGGTACAACAGCAAATGAAGCGTTTAAAAGGGAAGATTTAGAAGAAATTATAATGGACGGAGAACTTTGGGTTTTTGATAAAGAAGAATTAAAAAAGCATAAAAAGAAAATTAAGGATAAAAATGATTCAAAATTAAAAGGCAAATCCACAGCGGTTTATTGGGTTCAACCTGTTAAACGGAGACAGAATAAGTCATCAGAAGGTGAGAATGAAGCTGAAGTCAATGGAGAGAATAGTAAGCAAGTCGGAAGGCAGGTTAAATCCATATCTGAGATATGCAATCTTTACGATCAAGGATTTTGGGCTAATTTCAAAGAAGTTTTATTTCCACCTTCTTTATAACTTAATAATAATTTTATTTTCGGCACATATAATATTTAATAAGTGACGATCAATTGAATTCTACATTAAAAGTAAAAGATGACGACATACCATCTTCTTGTGTCCTTATCAGTGATAATTCGGTTACGTTATTCGTAGTGCAGTTTTTGTAATCTTGTGATGATGTACCAACTTTTTTTTTTTTGAAAATTTTCCAAATTTAATATATTAAAACTTGTGGTAAAAAAAAATTTTTTGGTATGATACCATATCATAGATATAAACCTGGCGAGAAAATTTAGGTTGAGAGAACAGATTTAATAAAATAGGTCAACATTTATTCGCGTGTTCAAAGTACATACTATCTTTACGATCTCTGTTTATAACCAAGTAAATTTTAACATGACTAATACGACTGAAAAGTTTTTTGCCGAAGTGAATACTTTATATAATTCTCGAGATAAAGCAAGAAGGGAGCAGGCTGACTCTTGGCTACAAGCTTTTCAGAAGACGGTAAATTATTGGCGATTACTGTTCTAAATTTATGACAACGAATATTGTTAGATTTCTTCACAAGCATTATAAAGATTCCCACTTTTTCTTTTATAATGTCGTCTACTGCAGTCGGAAGCTTGGGCAATATCAAATCAAGTATTAAGATCTCCCCAACTAACACCTGAATCGGAAGCAGCGCGTCATTTTGCGGCAGGTACTTTTCGGCAAAAGGTATGTTAATTATTATTTATGCATTATTATTTTTTTTTTTTTTTGTATTCCAAAAAAAAAAAACTTTGACGCGTTACCTTAAATTTTTATTGCTAATTCTTTTTCCTTAATTTTATCATTTTTGCATACCGATCGTTTAACATAGGTAACACTTGACCTAAATCAGCTTGACGCAACAGCTCGCATTACCCTTCGCGATTCTCTTTTAGAACTACTCTACCAATACCGTTCCGGTCCTCGATTGATTGTCACACAATTATGTCTTTCCTTGGCATGTCTAGCTCTTCAAATGCCTGAATGGCAAAATGTTTTACATCAGTTTACAGAATTATATGGTAAGAACCAAGAAACTGTAAATTGTTTGCTCGAGTTTCTTAAAGTATTACCAGAAGAGATCAACACAAATAATCGGATACCTATATTGGTAAGTTAAAATTATATTATTTTAAAAAAATTATTTATAAACTTGATAAATATTATTAAATATTTTTTCATAGGATGAAGATTATCGCGTGCGATCCAAGCAATTGTTGACCGATAATTCAAACGAAGTATTACAAATCCTTTTGGTTTATTTACAAAATTCGGGTAATTATATTGAGACGCTCTCATTATTTATTCACGTTATAGTAATATATATCTAATTCATGATTAATTTAGGTACAAATACTGATTATCAAAAAAAGGTGTTTGAATGTTTTCATAGTTGGTTACAGTCTGGCGATATTGCAATAAGTTCTTTGAAGAATAATCCATTTTTAGGTCTTTCATTTGATGCTTTACAATCAGATGATTTGTATGATATTGCGGTGGATGTTGTATGTGAAATAATTTTTGAAACGCAGGAGATTCCTGAATCAATGCCAGTAATTGAGCAAATATATCCGCGGTTATTGCCTTTAAGGGAGGCGTTAAAAAGAGCGATGGATGAAGATAATGAAGACAGAGTGCGAGGATATTGTAGGATATTCACGCATGCCGGTGAATCATATTTAGATCTTATAGTACAACATGCTGATGATTTCAGAAGTATTGTAGAAAGCATAGTTGAATGTACTGCCTATCACGATACAGAAATAGTTAGGATAACCTTTTATTTCTGGCATCGTTTAGCTGACACATTGTATCAACCACGCCATGCGAACATTAAAGATAAATTTAAGGATATATATTCAAATTTGGTTGATATTATGATCAAACATTTACATTATCCCAAAGATCTTACAACTTGGTCGGCCGAGAAACGCGATGAATTTCGTGAATTTCGGCATGTAATGGGTGATGTTCTTAAAGATAGCTGTCTCATTTCTGGATCTGCGGAGTGCCTATCAAAACCATTTACTACTCTAGCAAGACAACTTGCAAATTCGGTAAACGGGACTGTAGATTGGCAAGAAATTGAAGCGCCACTGTTCTCTTTGCGAGCTATGGGGTCAGAAGTGGAGGATGAAGAAGATGTTTATTTACCACAAATTATGCAACTTTTGCAACAGTTGCCAGATCATCCAAAAATTCGTTATGCGGCTACTTTAGTGATATCTAGATATTCTTATTGGACAAGGCATCATCCACAATTCATTCCATATCAATTGAATTTTATTTCCTCCGGATTTGATAATGAAGAAGTGTCTGCTGCTGCTGCATTGGCATTGAAATACCTATGCAAAGACTGTAGTGAGGTATTTTTGAATATTATTATGTCGTGATTTTTCTAGTGAATATATTTTAACCCTTTTTTATAATAAAAAATACACATATTTTAGTTGCTGATTGAATATCTTCCACAACTTCATCATTTCTATTTCAATGTTACAAATACGCTTCATGGAATAGATTTATTTGAAGTAACAGAGGCAGTTTCCCATGTCGTTGCCGCTGTTCGTCCAGCGGAATTATTGGAAGCATTACAAATGTTTTGTCTTCCAATCGCACGGTACTTGCATGAATTTGCCAATAAAGGTTCTGCTGCTACCGACAAGGAAATTAGGGATGCTTGTGGTGAGCAATTATCAAGTGGTTTTAATTAACCTTATTCATGATTTATCAAAAATTATATTTTTAATATATTCCGAATCATTAATTACAGATAAACTTGAACAGTTTTCAATAATTATAAGAGTCATTGCTGATTCCAGAAAAGAGACCAACACGATAGATGTAAATGCTGGTCTAGTTCATCCTTGTATTACCATTATAAAAGATTTATGGCCTGTGTTTGATTTACTTTTAGTACAGTTTGGTTCTGATTCTCATCTATCAGAGATTCTTTGTAAATGCTTTAAATATTGTGTCGTGTTTTATCGAATTTCTTTTAGGCCACTGCTTCCTGACCTGATGGAGCGTTTGGTTACAGTATTTGGTCAAACACATTTGAGTTGCTATTTATGGGTTGCAACTAAGTGTGTTCAGGAATATTCAGATGATGAAGGGACCGAAATGACGATGGCAATGATATCGTTTGTCGAAAGATTAAGCGTAACGATGTTTAGTCTTTTAAATGGAAAAAAATCTGCCGAAATTCCGGATGGTATTTTAATTTCAATAACTTCATTTTACATTTATCTATTTTAAATCTATTTTAAATCTATTTTAAATTACTTTTTGTTTTACAGTAATTGAAGATTATTTCCGTCTTAACATTGCGTTATTCGAGAGCACACCTATCACCTTTTCACAATCGGCCGTTTTTCTATCAGTTTTTCAAGCTGGACTTACATGCCTAACAATTCAACAACATGATGCATTATTTTCTATCATTGTATTTTTTCATAAGTTGCTTAATTTTAGAGCGAATCCAAAACAGAAACAAAAACAGAAAAATTCACCTGGTACACCAACTGTTCCTATCACATCTACGTCAGCTACAGAAGCTAATTTGAATGCAGCTTTATCGATCCATGATTCGTTATGGAAACAATATGTTACATCATTCCTTGAAAATATATTCAAAGGACTCATGTACACATTTCCGAGAGATATTCAACATATTGAAATTCATGAAATATTGATGTTTTTGTCTAAAATATATCCATTGGAATGTCAACAACGGATATCAGAGATCATTCAAAACATACAAGATTCGAATTTAACATCGGAAGCAAAGAATGGTTTTATAAGGGATTACAATTCGTAAGTCAATGTTTAAATAGCTAATCGTATTTTTAAATCCTAATTAAGAAACTTATGCGATGCCTTTCTTCCAGAGCAATACGAGGACAAGATTGGAGTAGACTACGACGAATCTCCAATGATTTTATCGCTGTCTTTAGGCGGAGATATCTAGCTTCTAGGCAACGTCGGGATAATGAATAATTTAATTGAATTCAGCTATTTTGTACTTTTATGATGATTTATCTGAAATACGATTAAAATTTTTTACACGACTTTTTTATATAATCTATATAAAGAAATATTTATATAATACAATAAATACAATAGATTGGCTCATTCAATAATAATAATAATATATATATATAATAAGTTACGAGAAAAATTATTACTTCAAACAGCATAGCCTGATCAAAATGATCGTCACATATTAAATTCTATAAAATCTAACTTTAAATGGCAGGGATGAATTCGCAAGGGTTGCGATAAAAAAAAAATTTCTAAAAGCATACCTTCGTTCTATATACTGTTAAAGTAAATGGAGAGGTAATTCGGAACTTTTCTAATTTACTTTATAAAATTAAAAGTTTTTTTTAAAAAATTTTTTTAAAGTTAGTTTTTTAAATATATATTATATTATAATAATTGTTATTTTTTAAGTATATGTAATAAAAATCTAAAGTTATTTATAAGCTAAAATTTGTAATTTTTAAAATATTCTTTGACAATCTTATTAAATTTACTTTTAATAATATTAATTATAATATAATATTATAAAAATTATAAAAAATAATTTTAATTAAGAAATTTTAAGATAATGAAGTGATTTAATTAGTTAACAAATAACAGTCGGATCTCTATATAGTCACCCATTCGGTTCCCTAAAAATTGGTGATTATATAGAGGTGTGATTGTTATAAAGGTATAAAATTTTAATTACTTAATTTTATCAAAACATCGTGATACGTCCTGAACTTTATATTTATTTTCGCATGTATTAATAAAAATTCTTTTTCTTGGCAAAAGTGATTGGTGTGACAAACCATCACGTGTGATTTTTTTATTATTTATATATCTAACTCAAACTTTTGAATTATTTCATCTTGTATAAAAAAATATTATATAACATGCAATCTGAGATCGATTCATTGAGAGGAATAAATTCAAAGCTCTTAGCTGAGATTACAGAACTTAGAAAGGAGAATGCCAAAGTCAAGGCTGAGAATATCAAAGTTAAGGCTGAGAACGTGAAGTTAAAGTATGTTTTAGAAGAACATAAAGCCAGATTCACAAACTTAGAACAGAGAGATAAAGAATAGACCACCCTTATTGCTAAATTAGATGATGATATCAGGGAAATTAAACAGAAACAAAATACTATTAATATTTTAGCACAAAGTAATACATCTATACTAAAGTCTCCAATTTATTTAATAACTTCACAATTATCAATTTCACCATTTATTGAAAGAATTTCAAAGCAATCAGATTATTCTATTCATTCTATTAAAAAGAATAATGATGACCTGATCTCAAAGGGACCCTCTATATTCTAGAATTTCAATTCAATACCCTTAGATCAAATTAATATACCTTCTATTACAAACTGGCATGATACTACTAAATCTAAATCATTGGAGAAGAACAAGGAAACAGATGCTTTCTTGAAAAGATTAACAATAAGATTAAAAAGAAAAGCAGAAGAAACTTCAGTATAATCAGTTACTCAAAACTCAGTTATTTCTAACTTATCATATAATATAAAAACTGTTTTCTCAGGAAACAATCAGAATCATGTGATTTCGGTTGAATAATCTCTTTTAAAAGCTAAATCTATAGAGCAAGATAATGACATAAATAAAAAAGAATCGCTTAATGAAAATCAAATTGTGAAATAAGGTCTAATATATAAATTATGTTAATCTACCTAAAAAGATGTTTACTAAAGTGAATTCAGATAATATCAGCTCAACTGAAATCATCAGCTCTTGTGTTAATTTAAAGAATATGATTTCAGGTTCTGCTAGCTAGCACTTATTTTATTTATTTAAAATAATAATAAAATTCAGTCAGTAAGAAATATTAGACTGGTATAATTATTTTTTTGAATTTAAGAGTAAGGTTGATGCTCTTATAGCTGATGATAGAATTAAAGATAAAATGATAAGATCAATGATTTACAAGGAAATAAAACTATTTTTCCTTACTAAAATTATACAAGTTAACTTGCGTAAGCAAATTCATAAAGCTAGAAACATCTCATGTTATTTGAAAAAAATAGGATTAGAATAGATAAAATTAAGCTGGTCTCATATAACACAACTGAGATTTTAAAACTAATTAATGCATAAATTCAAAATGTTATAAATCAAGTAAAAAAATATACTAATGATCATTAGAATTATGTGACTTTAAAAATCATTTTTTCAGAAAATGATCAAATTAAGAATGAGATAAGTACATTGATAAATATATTATCTATGTCTTAATCTAATATAACTTATGACAAATCTATTTTTGCAAAGATATTGGATCAATATTCTAATATATATAGAGAATTTAGTAATAATAATTTCAATTATTTTAGAATTACAAATGAGAAAATATATTTATTATGCAAGTTAAAGCATGATAAAAAAAGTTTAGAAGGTAGATATAAAGTCAGATCTTACTTTATTAAATATAAATTATATGAAATTAAAATAACTGCATAGTCTCATTATTCCCACTTGAAGTTTAACTTCTGCAAAAGATAACTTAACTATTTTTTAAAAATGTGATAGGAAATAATAATAAGCTTACTAACTAAGAACTTTAATCTTTTTGAATAAACATAAGAAAAAATGATTTAATTGATCTGCAATCATAGAAAAAAGTTAACATAACTAAGTCTAATAAAGTATTAACTTTCAAGTATTTAGATTAGTATGTCAAATTAAGTGGATTACTAAGTATTTTGATGGATAAGATTTAGTCTAGCTTATACAAAAAAATATAAAAAAAAACTGAACATGAACCATAATAATTATCAGAATTATATATATCAAAAGTCATAAATTTAATGTTAAGAAATAAAGTATCATACTTATCTTTTTTTTAGTCATGTGAAGAAAAAGGACCTATTATTTTTAAAGCTAGACCTGATTTAAAATTAATTATCAAATCCATTTTAAAGCATTTTTTATACTTAAAAATTCTAAAATAATTTTAGGAGAATTAATAATTATAATTTTATGTTATCTTAGCTATGAACTTATCATATCTTATTTGTAATGAAAAACATGAGAATTATAAATAATATGGCTTATGATTTTACAAAAATGGAAATCAGCTTCCTTATGATTCTGAATTAGTGAAGTTATATCTCAAGATAAAATATTATTTTACCTGCAACATTTTAAGCAATAAATTCAAGTTTGCAATAGTAGTATAAAAAACTTTTTCATTACTAAAAATGCATAATATAATATCAGAAGTATAAGGTCTAAAGAAAATTCTTTTGACAGTTCTTTTTTTTAAACCTGCACAGAATATACTATATATAATAATATACCTATTTCTATTAGTTGAAAGTGAGAAAAGTCTTCATAATTATTATATGATATAGCATGTTATCTTTAATAATATAATTTCAGCTTATATAAAAAATTTTTTAACATTTTTATTTTTTTTTCTTATATACATTTGAAAAAAAGAAAAATAAATAAGATAAGCTATCAAGAAAAATTATTAAAACAAATCATCTCCTACAGATTGACAGATTAAAGAAAAGACAAAACTACTTTGAAAAAAGCATATATTTAAGGATAGAAGCATGATTGTAAGGTTTGTGAAGAATGTAATTATCACTCATATCTATATTACAAAAGGTGTAAAAAGGTCACAAAGAAATATATAAACAATGTGAATATTCTGATCAATAAAGTAATAGTGCAAATTTACTAGACATTTTATAGATTTTTATATGAAGTGAGTTATAGGATTATATGAAGCAAAATGTACTATTTTTTTTCGATTAAGTTTTATTGTAGCTTTGATAAATCCATGTGTAGTAATAAGCTAGTTCATACCTGATCAATTGGTATTTTGATCACAAATTTAACACTCAATCAGAATTTGCAATCAAAATTCATAATTAAGTTGATTTTGATTATGTAAATTGATCGATAAAAAAAAATTAAAAAAAATGTCTAAACATAAAAAATAGAAAATTTACTATCTTTTTATGTTGTTAAAGCTTTTCAAAATGCAAAAAAAAATAGATTTACTTAAAGAGGAAGAAGATTCTGATAATTCAAGTAAAGAAGAAAATGAATTAGTAATTCTGGATTAACTTCTTTACTTAAAACACAGTATTTTAAGAGAGAACTCATGTAAGAAAATCAAAAGAGTAATATGATTATATTTATCAAAATATGATGATATTAGGTTTAAAAAAATAATAAGAATAGAATCTTATAATTTTCAAAAACTTGTATCAATTTTATATACTCATCAAATTTTTCAAAATAAAAGTAACAATTCTCAAGCTTCTATTGAGCTACAATTTGCAGTTTTTTTTAAGAAGGGTTAGCTTTAAAGAAAATATTTTTAAAATATATTCAAGATTTGATATTGCTGAAGGAACTATTTATTTATATTGTCAGAGAATAATAACTGCAATTTTTTTATTAAAAAAATTTTAATTAAATGACCAATAAGTAAAGCAAAGCAAAATATACATGAAGGATTTAAAAATATTGATAAAATGGTTAATATAATAGAAGCAATAGATGGAAGTCATGTAATATTAGCAAATGTTCTATTAAAACAACCTAAAATATATTGGAATAGAAAAAAAAAATATTTTATACAATTACAAGAAATTGTAGACTATAAGGATATATTTATAGATTATGATATTGGATAGCCTAGTTCAGTTCATAATATTAAAGTATATAAGGATTCATATTTTTATCAAAATATTTCTAAAATTATCAAAGAAGATAAATATTTATTTGGAGATTCGGCATATCTTTTGTCTATTTTTTTAATTAAACCTTTTACAAATCCTCAAATTCCTTTACATATTCAATTTAATATAATTCATTTCTCATACAGAATTTTAATTGAAAATACTTTTGGTAAACTTGAGAATAGATTTATTTCTTTAAAAAATTTAAATATTAGAAAGATTTCTATTGCAGTTATATTAATTGAGTATACAATTATTTTACATAACTTTTTAGAATTAAGTAATAATAATATAGAAGATTTATATAAAGAAAATGATGGTGATAAAGATGATGGTAATGATGATAGTGATAATAATGAAAATATTACAGATCAAAATAAAACTATAGATGAGAGACAAAATCCCTTAATAACAGTTAAAACTTAAACAAAACTATATTAAAATCATAATAAGAGATATAATGAAACCTATTTGATATAACGAAAGCTGGAACTGTTGAAACTATATTAAAAACATAGAAAAGGTATAGCAAAATTATTTTGAGAAGATTTCAACAGGCATCTATAATGAAACAAGAAAGAAAAAAAACAGAAGAAAGAAAAAGAGAACAAATAATAAATCAAATTATTCAATAAGTTAAATAATAATTTTTTTTATAATGTATAAAAAAAATAATTAATAAATTGTTTTTTTGTTTATAAAAATGCAAATATTTTATATATTTTATATGATTAACAAATGTTATATAAACATTTTATTAATAAACATTATATAAAATATTTTATTACAAGTATTAACATTATACAACAAATATTACATGATAATTAAAAAAAACAAATTTAATTTAAATTTTTCCTAGATTTTATTTCTTTCAATTTTAAATCAAATTTCATTTTCATTTACTCCCTTTCAAATTCATATTTTTGCTTTTTCACCTCCAATTTGCTTATTTTAATAATATAATTCTTTTCTATTTTTTCTCTTTCTAATTCAATTTTTTTCTCTCATACCTTTTCTTTAGTTTCACTTATAGTAGCAATAGCAATTGTAATAGAATCTATATTATTTTTCTTTTGTCTTTTAGAAAGTTTAGATTCATTAATTTTTTATTTTTATCAGTAATTCTATTTGCTATAAAAGAAGGAGCTATATTTTCATAAGTACTAAATATATTATTTATTTTTCTCTACTTCAGACTTTTCATTGTGATTTTTAATTTTACTATAAGTTTTAATTAATCTTATCAATTTGCTTTTAATAGCATTAGGTTTCTTGTTCTTTAATATAGTCAACTCTATATAGCGAACTCTTGATATAATGAATTTTTTAAACAAATATAATAAAAATACTTTTGTTATAACGAATTGGCCAATCAAATCTCTTAAAATCTTCACTATAGCCTTATAGCAAAGTTGAGGTCTAGGACATAGAGTTCGTTATAATAAGAGTTGACTGTACCTTTACTAAAATTTCATTAAACATCTTTGATTTAATACCTTTCTTATACTCATCAAAATTATTTACAATATATTGAATTAAAAGATTAATTTCATAATCTTGCCAATTATTACTCAAATTATTAAATTCATCTGAATTTAATTAGCGTTTGATAAATTTTCTTTTATTAGAAGTATCTGTAACCTTTAAATTAATTAAAAATTAATTAAAAAATTAATTAATATAAAAAAAAATATTTTGTAATTTTAATAAATTAACTTAATAAAATACTTACTTCTAATATGTTTTTAGAGGTCTCTTTTATATTATAAATTTCTTTTTCTTGATTAGAAATATTTTTTTCTTGGTTAAGAACTCTTATTCCAAGTATTTGATTAAAACCACTTCTAAAGGCATTGTTAAAAATAAATTCTTGATTTTGTAATAACTTTAGCATAGGATTTTGATAAGAAAATTTGAAAAAAGTTACATTGTATTACTCAAAGTGAGAAGGAGAAGGGTGAATCTCTCTATTAAATCTAAATAACAGAATGCTTTTTCTAAAAAAGCTTTTTTAAATATTTTCTTTCAGAAAATCCATGGGTGAAAAGAGTTAAAAAAAGACATATTATATTATGTATTATATTATGTATTCTCACTTTATAAATTGATTGAGTCAATTTTGACCAGATTTTTTTTTAATCAAAAAAATTCACCTTTTTGATTGATCATAAAGATCAGTTTTTTAGTTGTATATAAGTCAAATTTTATTAGCTAAAATATTTGTGCGAATTGACCAAAAATGCTAATCGATCAAGTATAAACTAGTCTAATATAATAGTAATTATTATATATATCATGAGAACAAATAATAATTTATTTTCAAATTATATATAGCCTTTTGTATAGTTAAATTAAAGGAATATCATTGATCAAATTTTTATAATGCAAACATATTAACGTAATTTTTCCAAAGTGTATTCCAAGATTGATTTTGCAAATTATATAAAATGATGATGTCTCAGCTAATTAATTCTTTTATCTACCTCATACAAGTAGTATTAACATATGACCTTATCATTTAACTTAAAATATGACCTTTTATCATTTGGTCATATGACTGATAGTTATTTTGTCATTTGTATAAAATTACGTTGCATGTTATATGATTTACATAATCATTAATCATATGACATGACCTTAAATTTTATTGCAAAAATTGCAATAGATTTAATATTTTAAACATCAGAGATATCAAAATATTGTAATTTTGCAATAATTTAACATTTTATCAGAGATGGCAAAATATTGAAAATTTTAATAAATTTAACATTTCAAAGTAAGAGATGTCAAAATATTTCAAATTGCAATAGATTTAACATTCTGAATGTCAGACGTATTAAAATATTACAAATTGCAATAAATTCAACATTTCGAATGTTAAAGGCATCAAAATATTGCAACCCTTTTCTTAGACTTTTTTTTTATTATTTTTTTTATTTATTATTTTATTATTATTTATTATTATTTTCAAATAAAATCGAAACTATATATACTCTTTTTTGATTAATTAAAATTATATAACAAATGACAAATAACAAATCATATAAGTCATATAGTCATATGATGTCATATGCCAACACTGCATGCAAGTAAATAAAAATCAAAAAAAAACTAAAAAATATGCTGAGACTCACCTAGGATCTGTATACTTCCTTCCTCTTTGGTAGCATAATATATTATTTTATTTATCTATTATCTGTAAAATTATTAAAAAATTTGTGCAATGTGTACTGTCTGTCATATAGATCAAAATTTTTGTATGCGCATATGATTCAATCCTTAAATTATATCTTGCAATTAAATCTGATTTTTAAAATATTATATCTTGTTCGAGTATAGTGTTAAAATAACTAATATATCAAGATTTTAATACTTTAAAATAATACTTTATGAGACTTAGAAAGTTTTCTAAATTGATGTATGCTCTACGTCACTGATTTTAGAAATAAAGATATGACTATAAGACATACTTGAAAACAATTAAGAATGATCTAAAACTATTAGAACCCTGTGATAATGAAACAGTTCAAGAGTTAGTAGAAGAAGCTTTAAAGGAATTTAAAGTATGAAACTTTTATCATGAAGAGCCCAGAAGATACTAGGTTATATCTGATAGCCGATAGATATGTTTATCAGGTACCTTTAGAATACATCTATATAAACATAACTTTTTACAATGTGATTTATTTTTATTTACCTACTAGAAGATGCTAGGATAATTCTGATAGCTGATAGATATATCTATCAGGTACCTTTAGGATACGTCTGAATGGATTTTATTCTTCTTCATTTTATTCATTAGACAGAGATAAATTCAATTAAAAATTAACATTTTTTAGAGGAATTGTCTATATTTTTAGATACATTAAACACAGTGGTAAACCTCAATATTAATAAGATAATTATTCGAGTTTTAGAATTACATAATGATATTAGCAATACAATTATTAATATCACGCAAAATAAATTACGTTTTAATAATAATTTAATTTTCATATATCTGTATTTTTCTCTGAATAATAGTGAATATTGATAATATTGCTAGAATGTAAGTGAGTTCATCTTCATGAAGAAAAGTCAGTTGAATTATGAAAAAGAAAGTATTTTCAAGACAAGGATCAATATATAGCTTAAATGTAGCTTAAATGTTTATTCACAAAAAATGCATTTTATAGAAGATAACGAGTTAGGAAGATACATTGCCTAATGGTACAAAAATTGAAAAGATGACTCTCCTTGATTTAGCGTAGTTAGATGATGATGATCATCTCTCTCAAGAAAAAGATAAAGGTTATTCCTGATTTAAAAAATACAGATATCAACAATTCAAAAAAATGGAAATTGCCTTCAAAGCTATATGTAAGCGAAATTTTCAATAAAAATATATCTGCTAATACAAAAAAGATCAAAAAATAAGAAAAAACTTACTATATATAAAAAAAACTATATTAAGATATGATACATCAAATATAATCGATTTATCTGTCATAGTGAATAGTTTTCTGCTAAGGATATAAAATTTTATAGTAAAAAATTATGCTGATTTGTTAAAGGTTTCTCAGTTGCTGGCAAAAGAAAATTCATTTATATCAAAAGTTGAAAGTATACGTATCTTGTTCTGAATTTATTTTAATATAAAAGTGTATTAATTCATTATTTTTTTACAATAGTATTTAAGGAAAATGTGAATAATACATATAAGCTTTACATTGAAAATTATGTTAATTCTGAAGAAAATGACTATATGCATAAAATAAGTAAAATATATGTCGAGTTGTAAGTAAATTATCTTATTGTTGAATCTATTTTTATCTTTGTGACTCTAACTTTATTATTTGATATATACAGTTTTTATAGAAGCAAGAACAAAGTTGATATTCTGGATTATGCAGGAAATACGCATACAGAACTTGATGTCATCATGAAAGCTTTCAGATATATTATTGAAGAACTGAACCCTGATTTTAAAATACATCAAAAATAGTTAGTAAAAGGCATAGAATATTCATTAACTTCGTGATCAAATTATTTATTATACTCATAAACATATTCATAGTTTAAGGGAGGAATCCTTTTGCCTACTAAGTAAAAGTAATGACTACAACAAAGGCAGAAAATATGACTTACATTTTTTATCAATGTCTGAAGTAGATATAGGAAGTGGAAATTTGCATTGAAAGTAATCTCTCATAAGCTGTTAGCAACCGTTGTAGGTCTGTCAGGGTTAACCAGTCTATTATAAATGGATCACTAAATCTCAACCTCACCAATGAGTAAAGTAAAAATATTAAAATACTTTTTATGCAAATATGTGATACAAGTAGTCAAATATTAATCGAAGATTTGGTTGAAAGAATCTATATGGTATTTCCTGAACTGAAATTTGAGCTTTCAACAAGGTTTCAGCATATTCAAAGCTCAAATCTGCTATCAATATTATAAATTTTATTATGGTAAGTTTGATCTATTTTATTACTAAAAAAGTTTTGTGTTAATATTTTGCATAAGATATGTATAAGTAAACAAATAAAATAGCAGAGACTCAAGAAAATATGTGTAATAGATTCGATGATATTTTAGTGGTGATTCTGATATCAAACCTACTCATTATAAGGTTAAATATTTACATAAACCATAGTGGTCTTTAAAGGATAAAAAATCATAACAGGAAATTTTTTTTTGCTATATGAAAATCATATTTAGCTTTATTGTGTATTAGTTTAAGTAATAACCAAAAATTATCTTATTGAAAATAATAAAAATTTCACAGGTGTTATTTTTTTTAGCAATTCTATATAATCTTTCATGATTAATTAGTGTTATGCATATACTTTTATTCTGTGCATTAAACTATTTACATCACAAAAAATCTAATGAGAAGAACAAAATAGAAAATTCAATTTTCCTATATATTTGTCACAAAACAATCACATGATCTTGATCATTTTCTGAATGTACTTCAGTATTACCAATAATTTTTTACCTTCACGTGATACTTGGCTGGCATTACAGTATTAAGAAATTAACCATGTGACAAATATAAAATGTCAAATATGATTTTGCATTCTAAAAAAATTCAAAGTTTTCAGAATACTTATGAAAATAGAAAATGCAGAGAGTGTGACATAGGGTGACAAATATTTCTATAATCACGTGAGGTGAAAAATTATTGGTAATACTGGGAAAAATCATTTCCCAAGGGAATAGTTTTTCACTATGTGAGTGAGAGGACTTTTGTCAATAATTTTTTTGCATCAGATATGATAATTTAATTCTGAAATCTGAACACAAACATTGTCTTTGGCTATTTTGAAAGATAAATTTAACTGATGCTGATCACATACTTATATCAAAGGTTTCAGAAAAAAATTTAACCAGATGCTGATCTTACTTCTACACAATTTTGTCAATCTTGAACAAGTAGTTCAGACTCTATCATCATGGTTTTAGGAGATAAATTTAACTGAATTTTTTTTAACGAACTCAAACTGTGTTCAGACTCTACTATCAGAAAAAAATAGAAAATATAATTATCTATGCTTAGTTGTTACAGAAAATCTAATTGGTTGATCATTTCATGATTTATAAAAAATCATCAGTACCTGAAATTATTATAGAACTGACAAAGAACCAGAATAATACAAATTTTATAATTTAACCATTTAAAATAATCAGATCTAATTTAATTGAATAATATTATTAAAGGAAAAATCATAAATCTGTTTCATCTGAATAATCAAATAAAAAATGAATCTGATATTTATTATAGTATATTTATTACAAATTGCTATAAATCGTTATAAATCATTATAAATCAACAAATTAGTGAAATTACTATAAAATATTATAATTCACTATAATTCACTATTTTATTAATTAAATACTTATAAAATATAGATTTAGATAGTAAAGCCTATTTTATATTTTGTTTATTAGATCGTGATTCTATATATGAAAGGATAATAAAAGTAATACATGCTTTAGAAAAGAAATATAATTATAAAATATTAGAAATGTGATACTTTTATATTCGTGATTCATTTAAAATATTACTTGAAGAAATCTAAAAAATCCTTTTTAAGAATAGGTATATTCATATGTATGAAAAGTTTTATATTACTAGTAATGATACTGTATTATAGTATATATGATTCTCTGGTATTCATTCCTGTAAGACTTATAGATGATCATTTATATTAAAATGGTCATTTGAAGAGATGTATTACTAAAGATATTAGTTCAAATGAATATATAAGAAGAAAAGAAATTCTCTAAACAATTTATAAAAGAAATTTCAGATCTGATAATATAAATAGTATATATTATGAGAAGAGGTTGAAATGAAATGTCTCCAATTAGAACTTTCATCACACTCTATTTTACACCCAAAAAGGATAAATTGGCATTAATATTATATGATTATGATAGTTGTATAATTAGTTAATTAATTATTTTATATACTTCTACTTTTCGATTGGCTAGATGCCATTTATAGTCTTATGAATCCTCTTTAGTTATTCTTAAACTGAAGTATTAACTAATTATTATTAAATCTTTTTTGTATCTATTAAAAATGATTGGTGAATATCTTTGCTCATATCTTAACAATATCTAAAATACTTGTGAAAAGACTTACATTCTTCTTGAAGAATATCAATTCTATTAGAAAGCTAAAAGTGAGTATCTTGCTCTGATTATGAGAAGCTGGTTGTTTTTGCTAGTGACTGATACTCATTATATATCAGAGGCTATTATGTTATCTAATACTATGATAAATTTTAGAATAAAGCTTTAAACCACTTCAGACAGTTTTATAATAATTCTCAAATAGCCTCTAGATCTCAAGAGCCTTTAGATTAAAACTCTATATAAGCTATTTTGACTTAACTTACCACCGGTTCAAGCTAAGCTACTTTTTTAGGTTTAGCTCAGAAGATTAATCAATAAGTTAAGCTAAGCCAAGCTGACTTGCAAACTAGCTTATTCAACTTACATTTAATATTTTAAAATGAAGATCTGGTTAAGAAAAATGTTTCTCATTAAGAGAAATATTTTCAAAATGATTCCTTTTAAGAGAAATGTTTTTTCTAACTCAACTTGAGAGATTAATTGATAAGTCAAGCTAAGCTAAGCTGGCTTACAAGCTAGCTCATTCAGCTTGTATTTAATATTTTAAAATAAAGATCTAGTCAAGAAAAATGTTTTTCATTAAGAGAAAACTTTTCAGAATAATTCCTTTTGAGAAAAATGTTTCTAGAGCAATTTCCTTCAAGAAAAATATTTTTGAATACTTTTCTGCAAGAGAAATATTTTTAGAGTAATTTTTATAAAAAATTTTACTTCCAGTGAGATTTCTTTGAAAAATTTCACTTCCAGAATGATTTTCTTGAAAAATTTCATTTTTATAACGATTTTCTTGAAGTATTTGCTTCTAAAATGATTTCTATTAAAGATTTTACTTTTAAAGAGATTTTCTTGAAGGAAATCATCTCTATAGTTTTTCCTTTAAAGGAATCACATTCAGAATCAAAATCTTTTATAAAAATCACTCTAGAAGTGAAATCATTCAAGAAAATTACTTCAGAAACAAATTCCTTTAAAGAAATTTAGCCTCATGTGTATTTTTCTTTAAGAAAATGCTATTAGATGCATTTTTTTCAAAAAAAACATCACTAGGTTCATTTTTCTTCAAAGGAAAATAATTGAGGCTGTTTTTCTTTAAAGTAAATGCCATTTAAGCATTTTTTCTTCAAAGAAAAACCTTCTTTGATTTATTTACTTTAAAGAAAAAATGCAAGCTAATAAGCTGAGCTGTGGCATAAGCTAAGCTATGACATAAGCCAATTTGTCTAACTCGCAACTTGTTTAATAGTAACTTGAGCTAAGCCTAGATGAGCTAGCTCAATTGGCTTGTAAGCAACTCAGCTTATTGCAAAGCTTTATCCTAAATAGCTTCTAGATAGCTTTCAAATAGTTTCTAGAACTAATATGTAATAAATTAACAATAAAAATCATTTAAGCTTATATATAACTTTTACTGGAATTTTTACTAAATATGCTATTTAATGATCTAGCCTACATAGAATCTATTCTTGACTAAAGAATAATTTTACAGATTTTTTTTGGACTTTTATAAAAAATGTTAGTTATTTTTGTTAGCCTTACATGCTATTTTATGAGTTAACTGATGCAAAGACAGTTTCTGATATACTGTTTTTCATTAAATTTATATTATAGAATAACATATTCTAAAAGAAATTGGAATAGTTATACTTAATTTTCATTAGACTTTTAAATAAAAATATGTTATTTATTAACTTAAATCATATAAAGTTAATTCTTAATATACAAATTTTCATTAGATTTGTTTTTGAGAAACTTAAATACAATTGTTAGGTTTAAAATTTTTATTAGACTTAAGAAAATCATTAGACTTATTTATAAGGTAATAAGGACTGTTAGACTTATTTTATTAGACTTAAGTGATTAATATATTTTTAATGAGTTAACTTATATAGAATTAATTCTTGATATATATTTTTTATTAGACTTAATAAATATAACTAAAAGATTAATATAGAAATTAAGAAATTTAAGCTTTTAGAAGCTTTTCTAATATAGTAAAAAAAAATGATATAGAAATTAAAATTCTAAAATGCTTAGAAGCTTTTCTAATAAAATATAAAAATAAAGATTCTAGATCTCTTAGAAGCTTTTCTAATATAATAAAAAAATTGATATAATTTTTAAACTTTTATGAGATCTTATATACAATATGGTAGATATTTTGGATGTTCAGTTCTAAAACCTTACTTTCATATTATGTACTTTTAATAATATTATTAACATTTATTTTTAATAATATTAATTATAATAGAATATTATAAAATTTATCATAATGAATAAACTTTAATTATTATACTTTTTATAATTTACTAAGAAATTTTCTAACTTTTATTAGTAGTAAAGTGATTCAATTAGTTTGTAATATATAAATTTTATAGAATTTTTTAAAAAATTATTATAATAAATTTTTTAAACTTAAAAAATTTTTTATAAACTTAAAATTTTTTCTAATAAAATTAATAAAATATATTAAACTATATATATTTTATATAATTATTATATTACTAAAATTAATATTTAATATTTTATTAAAAAAATAACACATTTTTTA